ACAAGGAATGATATATTGAGAAGATTGTCTGAATTTAACTTTAACGGAGTTCGAAAATGAAGGCAAAAAAAATCGTCGTTTCGATCCATATAATAATTCGCAAAAATTTTGTATTTTCAGAAAATAATAATTCTAAAAATTTTTTTGTATACCATGATTTGAAATAGTACAATCATAGCTCAAAATATTTGTATTAATACCATACCGTCGGAATTGGCAGACCATTAGCATAGCTATATGTGTTGGCTTTTGGGGGGCCTAATACCGAACTATCGCACTTCACACAAGCCCGCGGCCCACTCTATCGTCCTCCCTCGTATTTCATCTTTTTTTAACCGGGTGTCCATTGTAGAGAACTCGTTGGAGCATCTGACAGAATCATTGATTCGTTATTATTTCGAAAATTGAATGAACCGTCACAATTCCAATCTCTCCCGTTGTAAAATAATACATTATTGGTACAATGTAACCAATTTTGGAAATTCCTGTTATTCATTCAAATTTCCAAATAATTCCGAAATTGGAGTTCCATTGGACTCCTCAAAACTTTCTGCACAATGGATACCCTATCGCGAATGATGTGCTCGCCCTATATAACAATGCACAAAAGATTTTGAATTCATAGAATGATATATTGAGAGGATTATTTAGATTTCCCTTTGACCGAGTTCGAAAATGCAGGTATAGCAATAATCGTCGTTTCGATTTATATAATAATTTGCAGGAATTTTTTATTCTCAGAAAATATAAATCCCAGAAATTTTTTTTGGATACCGTGATTTAAAATGATTGACTCATAGCTCAAAATATTTGTATCAATACCATACTGTCGGAATTGGCAGACCATTAACATAGCTATATTTGTTGGCTTTTGGTGGGCCTAATATCGAATTATCGCACCTCATACAAACTCGCGGCACACACTATCGTCCTCCCTCGTATTTCATCGTTCTTCAACCGGTTATCCATTGTCTAGAACTCGTTGAAGCATCTAATGAAGCCATTGATTCGTTATTACTTCGAAAATTGAATTAACCATCACAGTTCCAATCACTCCCATTGTCAAATAACACATTGGTACAATGTAACCAAATTTGGAATTCCTGTTATTCATTCAGATTTCCAAATAATTCCAAAATGGAAGTTCCATTGGACTCATCAAAACTTTTTGCACAATGGATGCCTTATTGTGAATGATGTAATGACCATCATTTGTTCTTTATAGCAATAACTAAGTTGCATAATTGGCATGGCCCATAACCACGGAAGGGTCCAATTGCATGTAATATGATGACCAGGGACCGGAAAAGGGCTCAACTAAAATTGGAAGGGGACTCGTAGCTAAAACAAAAGCCAGTGTGCAATTGGATCATAACCAAATTGTGATATTTTTCAATTTTCGAATGGAATATTGTGTTTATCGGTTAGAATGAAGGAAAATGAGTATATAATTGCAGAAATGTAAGGATATAGACGAAAAGAATGGAGTTGGTGAGTGAATAGTGATTTATTATAGGCTGATAGCCCGAAATGGTGGACATAAAGTGCATAGTTGGCAAGTAGACAACCAATTACGGGGCGCGTTCAGGCGACGAAATTTCGAATTAAATTGAGCTGCTCACCGCCTGTCTAACCCTCCTTTCGAAAAACAAATTTTAGTTTTTAATATCCTCTTGTTTGTTTACCTCAATTGTTCTCGCCCACAATAAACATGAATAACATTGCAATCATTTTTTTGCTAGTCTTTCCATTGATTTTTTTTAGAAAATGGCAAATGTCCGTGGAAACTTTATTATTAATGAACCGACAAAACTCAGTATGGGGGGTTTTTCATCCGAAAAACCATAAATAGGTATCATAGTCGTGCACAACCAGTACGCCACAAGTGCAGAATTTATGCACAATTAACGGGCCACAAGTGCACTACTCGTACACACTTTATGCACCCAAGTGCACTTCTTATGCGTAATTAGTGCGGAACACATACACTAATGATGGGTAATTGATGCACCACAAGTGCACCATTCGTGCGCAATTGGTGTGCTACAGGTGCACTACTCGTGTGGAATTGCTGCGCCACAAGTCCACTATTCGTACGCAATTGGTGCGCCACAAGTGCGCTATTCATGCGCAATTGTGTGAAATAGGTGCACTAGTCGTGTACAATTGGTGCACCACAAGGCCACTACTCGTGCGCCATTGGTGCGAAACAGATGCACAACTCATGCGCAGTTGGTACGCCACAGGTGCGCTACTAGTCCGCCACAGGGACACTACTGGTACGCAACTGGCATGAAACATGTACCATACTTGTGCGCCATAGGTGCACAATTATGTATGACTAGTGCACTTTTGGCCCGCTAAGTATGCATGAGTTCTGCACCTGTGGTGTACTGGTTGGGCACGACTGCGACATCTATTCACGGTTTTTCGGATGAAAAACCCTCCGTACTGGGTTTTGTAGGTTCATTAATAACAAAGTTTCTACGGACATTTTCCTTTTCCTTGTGAGGTTCGGGAAAAAATTTAGAATGAAAAATAGAATTATTTTTAATTGAAATTTTAAATATATTGGACGCTAGTCGATGGATTATTTTTCGAGAGTGCATCGACTCTTCTCGATATAGATATTTCAACAATGTTAACAGAATTACAATGGCTGGTAGATCAGGTATCAGAGTAGACTCTACTTGTTACGAGGGGGAGGGAGGACGATACTCCCAGCCTGCAAATTTTACCTTCCACACTCACACAAATGAGAACACACAATTTAACAAGAACAATCAAATATAATTTCACACAACGAAAAATTATGAAATTTACTGGAAAGTTGAATAAGGGTTATAATTCCTCATTATTCTCAAAATTATGACGAAATATCCATAATATAGATGGGTATCCAATTGAGGGTCAATACGTGACGTCAAAATACAATGAATTCAATTTATCACATTTTAATTTCACACAAAAATTAATCAGAACTAATGAACTTCAATATTGTACTCAAATTTACCAAAAGTAGTCATCAAAAATCGAAAAAATATAAGAGGAGCTGATCACAACTGCCTCAACTCAAGAAAATAAAATGAAAAATTTGAAAAGACGCCGTCTTGGACGCTTTCTCAAGAGTAGCTAAGACAAATGCTACACTTTTACAATTTCACTTAAAGTTAATAACAATTCGGCTCTGCCCACCTGTCAATTAGTAAGAAATCACCTGCCCCAGGATAGACAGCAACCTCCATAATCCAAAATACTAAATTTAACTCAAAGTAAACGAAATATCTGACGGACAGTACTATTTTGCGACTACATCTCGCGCTGGCTAGGAGGCGATTCTCTTTAAGCTTGGGTCGGTTCAACCGATAAGCCTGCTTGATCTTGTTTCGGGGGAGGGACCTCCCCCCAATTTCATAAGATACGAAATTTTATTGGATATCGAAGTTCTAACAAACGTATTTGACTCTAGAATGTTCTACATGACTAATTTACGTGAAAATTATTTCTCAAAAATCGTAAATGAATATTAATTGATATTTTCAGTAATTTAAAATTATTCCCAAATTAGATTTTATGGATTGTTGATGAGTAGATAATTTTATCGTCGCTCGGATATCCCCCACTGACTTCCTGCAGGTTCTGCTCGTCAGATGAAGTGGAGTTTCATACTTCGGTCGATCCTTACGTCAGGGTACTCTGGGCCGTTGTCACTCGGTGGTTGATGGCAATAGATCCTCGGTTGAAGACACCTTCTGCTCCCATTTGAAAAGCATGTGCCTCGTAGAGGGATGCCATCATCCCATCCTCCTTCCTGATAGCCTGAACGGGGTGGTCTGGATGTTGTTTGGTCCCAAGATATTTTTCTCAGGACCTACTCCTCTTGACTCAACCCGGTTTCGTGGAGTTATGACCGTCGGAGATGATAAATGGTATTAGAATTGGGAAAGATTTGGAGTATTTCCTTTCCCGATTCTCATAGATGAGAGAAGCCTCCTAGAGGTTAATTTTTCACAATTTTGCCTTAGAAGAAGGTCGTGATTTTCATATAAAAATTAAAATAAACAAATTTTACAAATAAAAAATAAATTACGGGTTGACGACCCGTGTCGTCACATCCTCATGGAAACAATGAAAAGACTTGAAACAGAAATTATACGAATTTTATTCATTTTTCTTGTGGGCGAGCAAAATTGAGGTCGACAAACAAGAGGGTATCAAAAATCGACATTTGCTTGGCGAAAGGAGGGATAGACAGACGTGAGCAATTTAATCCAATTCGAAATTTTGTTGCCTGAGCGCGCCACTTCTTGATACTATATGGGTATCGACATGAAATTGACAGCACAGCAGTTTCACTCAACTTCTCTCCCTCAAGTTTCGACAGCTCTAAGGCGCTGTTGTTAAACCTCGGTCAATCCCTACCACTCACTATTACGCGCCATAACCCGGCCTCCTCATTTGCCTGCGTTAAGTGTTCATTATTCAAAACTAGTTAAATGATCTTTTTTTTATATTTTTCTGGCATTCAGGGGGGGGTTTCTGATCCTGTGGCCGGCAGATATTCCTTTAATATAAAGGAAAGCATCAAGAATCTCGAATGAGAAGTCGAATGAGAACTCGAATTGAAAAAAGTCGAACTCGAACGTGCGGTTCGATTATGATGAATTAACAAACACAAACAGAACTGCAGCGTGGTTCGAACACTTCAATAATCTGTCGCATGACATTATTTATAGTGATGATTTTTTTCTTGAAAACGAGATTTTTTAATGGAATCTTGAATGACAACTCGAATTGAAAAGAGTCGAATGGATTGTCTGAAAGTCGAACTCGAACGGGCGATTCGCTCATGACTAGAGTGTGGTTCGTGGCAGTTCGTGGAGACCGCATCACTGAGCACGTGTTTTGTTTTTCTTTTCTCAAACCTGTTGTTACTTTCGTCTCTTAGAAACAACAACTGTTTTCCGTGTTAAAATTCGTATTTAACAAAAAGAGTACGTTCAGAATGGACCGAGATAATGTTGTGAATTTTTTCACCTTGATTTCAAATCGGGAAGTGGATTACTTGGAAGTTGGCTACAACATCACGTAAGTATTATTATCTTTTCCAATGATAAATGAGAATAAATATTAATATATAATTTTTTCTCCATCCAATTTTCATATACTGTGACAAAAATCGAATTTTAGAGGTTAAATACGAAAATGTGACGCGATGAGAATTTTAGAGGTTAAACATTACGGGGTCGGAATCTTTTCTTCATAGAGTGACGTTTTTGTTCAATCATTTCCCAAAAAAAGGAAAAAATTTAGAGAACATTTATATTAAGTCGGGGAATAAGAATAGATGAACATGTTTTTTTTTACAGTCCAATTCTAGGAGTCATCAGTGGGAGGGAGAGGGATGGACTCACTGATGTCCCCTGGAACCAAGCTCCTGTCTAACTCATTCTTACGAATCTCGCTGGGAGATCGCTCAGAATGGTTTTTTGGGGAGGCTACGATGACGCATTCCTCCAGAATGCCATCGGGCAGGTATTCATTGCATTTTTTTTAAATTTCATTAAAAAAATGTTCAGTCAAAAATATTTCATTCGGTAAATCAAATGAAAAATTTTTTTTTTCTTTACAACTCTTTCTATTGAGATTTTTATTGCAAAATTCCTCAGCCCAAATTTCCAGATTTTTCTTCATCATTCCAATGAGAGATAATAAAGATTCAGATTCAGATTCAGATTCAGAGAAAAGGAAAGAATCTAGAAGAAAAAATATTTAAAAAAATTGAAAATTAATGTCAAGGAATTTCTACAGAGAATATTTCACTTGCATATTTTTCCATTCATGGAAGAATTTAATTGAAAAATGTAGTTCATTAGAAAATTTTAGTGGATTTCTCTCGAACATATATTGAACAGTCTATTAATTTTCCGCCAAGTCGATTGAAATGTTCCGTAGCTTTTCTNGTGAACTACCCTCTTGGGACTAAAATATTTCGTATTAAAAATGGGAGAAATCGGATGAATAGTTTAGGAGATATTCAACTTTGTATCTAAACCTATNAAAGGAAAGAATCTAGAAGAAAAAATATTTAAAAAAATTGAAAATTAATGTCAAGGAATTTCTACAGAGAATATTTCACTTGCATATTTTTCCATTCATGGAAGAATTTAATTGAAAAATGTAGTTCATTAGAAAATTTTAGTGGATTTCTCTCGAACATATATTGAACAGTCTATTAATTTTCCGCCAAGTCGATTGAAATGTTCCGTAGCTTTTCTTCCTTCTTTTTTTCATGAGAAAAAAAGTTCGATAGAAAATTTCTTATACAGTAAATTTAAAAAAAAGATTTAATTGCATCATACAACTTATTCTATTGAGAAATATTTNATATACCCGTCTATAGAAAGTTTCCGAGATATTTCAGTTTTTCGCTTTTTTGCTCAAAACGCTTGTTAACACTCTAACTTCCGAAAAAATCAATATATTAACTTGAAATTTGGCATGAACCCTCTTGGGACTAAAATGTTTCGTATTGAGAATGGGTGAAATCGGATGAATAGTTTAGGAGATATTCAACTTTGTATCTAAACTTATTTTCTTGAATATCTCAAAAACTATCCCACCGATTTCAATTTTTTTTTCAAAATACTCGTCTTGGGGCCCCCCATCTCACTCAATCAAAATATGTATACTCGTCCATGCAAAGTTTCCGAGATATTTCAGTTCTTTCGGTTTNGAGTGTTCAATTGTACATTGCTAGAAAATTACATTGGATCTCTCTTAATTTTTTTTTAACATTCTATTAGATTCTGCTGATTCTATTGGAAAGTTAGGTAGCTTTCCTGTGCTTTTTCTCGATTAAAAAAAATATTGAATAGAGCATATTTCATAGAAGTTCAACAGANCCTCTTGGGACTAAAATGTTTCGTATTGAGAATGGGTGAAATCGGATGAATAGTTTAGGAGATATTCAACTTTGTATCTAAACTTATTTTCTTGAATATCTCAAAAACTATCCCACCGATTTCAATTTTTTTTTNAATGTAGAATACTATGATTAGACTATGACTACTTTTGTCTATTCTCTTTCAGATCTTAGCTGTAACTGGTGCTTATGTCACCATCATGGATCATCGCTTTATTCACTCGGAGGATCCACATCGACGACCAGTGAATCTCAATATTAATCCTTATCCTTATATATAAAGAAGAGCATCGAGAATCTCGAATGAGCACTCGAACAGCACTCGAATGAGAATCGATTGTAAAAAAAGTCGAACTCGAAACTCGAACATGAGAACAAGCTTCGATAAGATCATCAACAGATGACATTGCTCGGGAAATGGGNACTCAATCAAAATATGTATACTCGTCCATGCAAAGTTTCCGAGATATTTCAGTTCTTTCGGTTTTTTGCTCAAAATGCTTGTTAACACTCTAACTTTCGAAAAAATCAATATATTAACTTGAAATTNACATTGCTCGGGAAATGGGCGCGAATTTCAAAAAATATTTCTTATCGGAAATAGAATACAAGTACATTATCTTATAGCTAGGTAAATTGATGTATATGTTGTGTATTATAAATATGAAAGGGAGCCCCTTCATCTCAACTGAGATAGTAATGCAAGGGGGGGGGAGAATGCATAAATTTCAGGGCGAAAAATTTGTTTTCACCTAATTTTTTTTTTGATCCGTTGAATACTAATATGGAGGTTCCCAAGTCAAACTCCTGTGAGATTTTTTGTTGTTAACGAATTATTAATAAACAATTGGAAAGNACAAAAACTATCCGACCGATTTTTTTTTCTAAATACTCATCTCGATGTCCTCTATCTCAATCAATCAAAATACGTGTACCCGTTCGTACAAAGTTTCTGCAGGTTTATTGACTAACGATANGAATGCATAAATTTCAGGGCGAAAAATTTGTTTTCACCTAATTTTTTTTTTGATCCGTTGAATACTAATATGGAGGTTCCCAAGTCAAACTCCTGTGAGATTTTTTGTTGTTAACGAATTATTAATAAACAATTGGAAAGCCAACTTTTCCGATGAGAATTTTTTTTCCGTAGAACACACCTGATTTCAACGGGGGTAAGTCTTCAAACATTTGTCCGTATTTACAGCGATTTTACCAATAAAATTTCATGAACAAATGATTTTTAAAGTATGTTTGCTTCCGANAAAAGTTCTTGAGAGTGACAGAAAAGTTGATGAAATCAACCACTGACGACAAGAAAAGTCATGAAANCCAATAAAATTTCATGAACAAATGATTTTTAAAGTATGTTTGCTTCCGAATGGAAGCATTGAAATCGTTCGATTTTTCAAATCGCAAATTTTGCTTGGAAACGATGCAGAATGGTCTGAAATGTAAAAATACGAAGTTTGACCACCCCGTGTGTATGTGCGGGTGTCCACCTGGTGGTCAACTTTTTGAAAATTGGAGGAATAAAGGGCTAAAATGATTCCAAATAATCTGAAATTTTTTCAGCTTATAGGTATTACTAAGGACTAACTGTGTGCTAAGTTTCAGCTCAATCGGTCCAGCCCTTTTTGAGAAATGACCATTCGTTTGTAAATNGGCCAGACATAGTCACGAAATTCTGGACTAATAAAATGTTCTGATCTTCAGTTCTCCTTGACGGATTCCTTCATGAGGACAGCGTTGTGGATGTACATCAACTGTGGATTTGTTCATCTATATTATTAGAGTGTTTTTTCAGCGTGAAATTTTGAATTTTTATGAATTGCTTCCGAACGGAAGCATTGGAATCGTTCGATTTTTCGAATCGCTAATTTTGCTTGGAAATGATGTAGAATGGACCGACACGTAAAAAATACTAAGTTTGACCACCATGTGTATGTGTGCGGGTGTCCACTAGGTGGTCAACTTTTAGAAAATTGAAGGAATAGAGAACTAAACTAATTCCAAAAAATCTGAAATTTTGTCAGATGATAGGTATCAATGAGGACTAACTCTGTGCTAAAGTTCAGCTCAATCGGTCCAGCCGTTTGTGAGAAATCGCCATTTGTTTGTAAATCGTTTTTCGAAAATATTTCAACAATTATACAACCAATTTCAATTTTTATCCCCTCAAAATGTCCTATATCTCAACCAATCAAAATATACATATATATATATACTAATCCGACTCCCGGGAGAACCAAAACAGATTTCAAAATTCTCATTTGGAAAGAAGATGAGGAAAGAATGTACCAATTCATGTGATTTTTTTCAATTTTTTAAAATGAATTTCCAAGTTTGCGCGAAGTGATTCAATTTCTTATGGGATATAACATGTCTTGAACAGGTCAAATGTGAAAATATTTTTTTTCAAGACTGAATCACTCACCTTGGTGGAACTAACTCCGTAGACTTTCTGGTAGAAGGGAAGAGAACAATACAATTTTTTTTCTCAACGAAATAACAATTTGTTTTCAAGATAAAAATTCGGATTTTCCCTCAATTGCGTGATTTTCAGACGTGTCTACAACGCTTGCTGAGCTCCGTCCACTCGTGTCGTTTGGATCGAATGGTCGATAAACTATCTGGCTATCATTTTGAAGGGAAAAAATTTTTTTCGACATTGTCAATGTAGAGAAAAAGACGAAATAAGATTGACAAATTTTTGTGTAGAGACAGGTGCCCACCTTGTCCGGTACTTTTACGATGGCCATATACAGTGAAACTGAACCTAGAAAAAAAAATGACCTGCCGTGCGGACCTTTTCTGTGAAGGGACCGACCTTCGATGATCGAAACCATGTGTTGATGTCTTAAAAATGAAAAATACATAATTGTTTATATTTTTTTTTCGAAAATTACCTCATTTAATCGACTAGTTTATACAAATATCAACGAAATTCGAATGATAACAATAGCTCTATTCTAACTATTTTTACAATTTTCATTGTACATCGTTGATTTTAAATTGTTTTTTCGCAAATATCTCGAAACATATTCAACCGGTTTCAGTTATTTATTTTTCAAAATATTCGTCTCGACGTTTTCTATATCAATTGATTCAAATATGCATACCCGTTCATACAGTTCCCGAGATATTTCCATTTTTCGGTATTAAGCATGGAGTTTCCTCTTATTACTAATATATAATACATAATATAATAATATCATATAATACAATACAGCATAATATACTATTTCGCATTGCAGATAGGCTGCACCAGATGGTTTTTTTCTTGAATGAACCTCGCTTGTTAAGCGCTACAATATACGTGAAAGTTGAAGTTGAAAGTTAAATTTCGGTATGGTTAAGTTACATTTTTCTCCAAATTTTGGTTCGATCTTTTAATAGCTAATGAGATAAAGTAATTCACCTAAATTTTTTTTTTTGAGTATTCACAAATCTTTATATAGTCATTTATTGTTAAATTAGGACGATTTGAAATGGAAAAGGATATGCGAGGAAGAAAAAACTCCATTCTGATGAAACCATTTGGAAGCTCGCCATCAATATATTGATGGCAAAAGAAACATTAAGACATCACTCAGTGACATGCGCGCTGTCACATATTTGCTGCCTCCCGCTTGGTTAAATAATTTTCTAATGAAAACTTTAAGGTTTCCCTCGTGCAATCCGGTGTCAACTTCCTCAATTTCTTCACTATGAGCATCACATCTTGTGTACTTTCTTCATTCTTCGTGAGCAAACCATTATATTCAGTGATCAGAGCCACACTTCTTTCGGCTAGATCATTCGTCACGAGAAGTGATTTCACAATTTTTGAAGCTTTAACATATTCTTCGCTTTCTCCCCACATTATCGGATCGATATCCAAGAAATTAGATTCAATATTTAAAATTTTGAAGAACTGAATGGTGTTCTGTGTTACGAATTGATCTAAACTTGACTCTTGGATGAAGTTTTGATCCTTCATGTCTGATTTTCGCTTTTTTCTATCGTTTTTAAGGGCAGGTCGAGATTTGATCGCTTCACACATTCTTCTCTTACAGTCTAAATCCAAAGAGTCATCAAAAAAGGCGAAAGCGATCAATTCTTCTGATAAATACCAGAGATGGTTCACAAATTTTCCAAACACAGCGTTGTACATTTTTGGAGATGCAGAGTTGTTTTCAGCTGCCAATTTTTTCAATAATTCTAGGTCATTTTTCGGTGCTTCAACTGCATTTGGGGCTGTGAACCAACTCTTCTGGTAGAAACGAACAATAAAAATACAAATACTCTTCAAACCTGATATTTCATACGCTTTCATGGAAAATTGATCTCTATACAAAAAAATTTTAAGTGAGTAAATTGCTTTCGCCATCCACCTAGCATGATGAATGGGGCCTAGAGCTCGAAACCGATTGCCATCTGGAAGATTCCCGCCTAGGAACATGATCACCAGCTCTACAAACTCTTGGTAGTCTTTTCGAATGCTCGCAATCTGTGAAGCAGTGAATGGAAAAGCGTTCAGCCTGTCATTTACAATCATTAAGAAAGCAAGTATGAAACAAATCAATAGAAAAGCCTAGCGAATCCGCTAGATAATTCTATTGGATCCCTATAAAATTTTCTATCAGATTTTGGCCGTTTCTATTCACGTGTTCAATAGAAAATATTCTATAGAAAAGGCCAAGAGAATTATATTTTTCTATTGAACTTATTGTATTGAAATATATTCTATAGAATTTTCTCGGTTAGAGTTTTTTAAGTTTTCTTCATTCTATTTTTCTTTTCTTTCCATCAAGAAAATCAAAGCAAGAAGAACTTAGAAAAGCTGAACTGAAGAAATTCTATAAAAAATATCTCAATAGAATAACTTGTCCAGAAAAATCGAATTCCATAGACTTTATCTATACAATACTTTCTATTGAACAGATCCAAAGAAACGGCCAAAAACTTACAGAAAGGTTTATAGAAGGCCAATAGAATCTTCCAGCGAATTCGCTAGGTTTTTCTACTAATTTTTTTCGTGCGTTAGTTTTTTTTAATAATTCGTTCATAATAATAATTATTATAAATCCGGCATAGTCTACCTTCAGCTGCGAATACGCAAATGTGAGGGCATCTTTCGCATCATCCTTGACTGCGGCTTGAATTTCTTCATCTTGAACTCCTGGCGAAAATTTTCCCTTCTCCAAGTACTGCCACTGTCCTTGAAATCGTTTGAAAATACAAATATCTGGACCAGAGGTAGGGCCCATAGAGACATCAAAGGCAGCTTTCAGCAGAAGCTCAAACACGTGATGCCGACAAGCAAGATATAATAGACTTCTTCCCAATAATTTCTCCAGTAGGACACATGCACCATTTGAACTGCCAGTATTGCTAGCCGTGGTATCGAAAACCATGGCACATATAACATCAAGAAATCCCCTTTCGTCCAAACACTTGAAAATGGCATTTGCCTGCTCTTCACCAGTTCCACTCTCGAGCTTTGGAACCCCGAGTAATTCATCTCCGTCAATGCCTGATATAAGAACAGGGAGTCGTTCGATCTTCTCGTATTTGTTCCCCAGTGCTGCTAATTGCTTGCCGTCCCAATGAACCGTAGTGAAAGATCCGTTTTTTGAGTTATCTTTGATAGTATTACTCAGAGCCTTACGTTGTTTACCCCTGTTACGGCGGATTGTTTCTCGGCTCAAATAGAAATCGTCCACAGTAAAACCAACCGATATGAGAAGAGCAGCGATCACACGTGCCGCCATACGATCGCTGATTTTAGCTCGATCCAAAGCGGCCGTAAGGTCTGGAGTCATAATCAGGCGTTTTTTTGGTTTGGGGGGATCTGCATTACACTCAAAATCGCTGTCATCTTGCTCGTCATCTTCAAACTGCTTCGATAGTTCGTCAAGATCTTCCTCTTCATCCCACTGATAATTACTACAATTGGCGAGAATTCTGTTCGGTTTCACTGCAAAATTGGCGGAATTCACAATTAGTAAGAATTTACTAGGAATTTTGATAAGAAGAGTGAGAGGATAGAGAAGAAAGTTCTTCATATCGCTACGCCCCGAAGTTCGGCAGCCTGGCCGCCGCGATTGGCCCGAGCCCGGCCGATTTGTTTTTCCCCTACCTGGGTAAGCGGCTTCTAGAGTAAACCCATCAATATACTCAGTAAACGTATTCATTTCCACGCTATGTAAATTAATTCTGGAATCAGGAATTTTGGAGAACAGGGAACATTCATTTTTTTTAAATTGATGAAATTCTCCTCTCAATGCGTTATATGGATCATCAAAAAAATATTCCATGAGAAAAAAATGATTTTTATGTAGATTATTAATGTTAATAATGAGTTAAAAGTTGATCGCTCGGGTTAACGTACGAGAGACAGCGTGTGTCGCTCCTGTCGGCTGCCGCTACGAGAGTGAGGGAGAGGCATGGCGACTACATTGCTGTGACGTCACAGCCCGCTCGAGACGTCCAAAAAGTGCACTTTATAATGGATCATTTCCGATTGAAAAATGCAAATTGGAGGGTTATAAAAATTGTTGGGGAGATGGTTACAATCTCTAGATAAAGAAAAAAAATTAAATATCGTATTTTCAATTCTCCTAAATCCCTGATTCCTGGATTGGTTAATATACTCTTTAACATCCAACCGTTCTCATCTCATTAGCTTTGGGAAATTGACGAAAAGGACAAATGGCTGAAAGCGTGCAGCACAAAACTTAACACGTTTTTTTTTATTTTCAATTTTTCTCTACCTTTGACCGCATCGATTCAAGTCTGGCTAAGTCATTTTCACCGCGGAAGTGCACTTAGTGATCATCATGACTTTTCTTCTATCACTCTCAATAAAGGAAAATGAATGGAATACATTTAGTACCTTCTTCTTGAGGCTGCGATTTTTCATATCCGTGTTTAAGCGGAGGAATCCAATCTGTTGTATCGATGATTTGGTCCAAATAACCCTTTCTCCCCGGTTCTCGGTGTAGAGCCAACAGCATTTTTGCAGTTCCATTTTTCATTGCATCCACTTTTGACTGACACGCAATGTCAAACAAATCATTCAACATACACTTGAAGTCAATTTCCCTCACTTGTGCTTTAGCACACGTCATCCTACGCACAGGGCCATTCTTTAAAACCTTCCTGTATTCTTTCACTAATTTTTCCAACTCAGTAATCGCATGATAGTCTTGGATGATTGGAATTCCTGCATTTTCCCAGAACAAGATACACTTTTGAATAACACATTTTGCAGCTTTCCGAGTATTCAATTTCGGATCAGCGTGTCTCATGTAATGGAAAAAACACTCTAACACTTGTTTGTTCGATGGCAATTGATTACCCCGAATTTCTGGCCGTTCATTGCCAATTAATGGACTCTCGGTATCCGGTCGAGTTTTTGCCATTTTCACGTATTTTCTTTTTGGAAGAAATTGCACATTAAAATAAAAATAGGAAATTAACTTTGTGAAACAGACGAAAGTGTCAGGAATCCTTCGATGTTGCCTCTTTCAAAGTTGTACTCTAACTGACCATTAGTACAGCCAAGAAAATGGTTGGAAAATACTTTATTGTCAGTATAGCATAATAGTGGGAGGCAACANAGGAATCCAATCTGTTGTATCGATGATTTGGTCCAAATAACCCTTTCTCCCCGGTTCTCGGTGTAGAGCCAACAGCATTTTTGCAGTTCCATTTTTCATTGCATCCACTTTTGACTGACACGCAATGTCAAACAAATCATTCAACATACACTTGAAGTCAATTTCCCTCACTTGTGCTTTAGCACACGTCATCCTACGCACAGGGCCATTCTTTAAAACCTTCCTGTATTCTTTCACTAATTTTTCCAACTCAGTAATCGCATGATAGTCTTGGATGATTGGAATTCCTGCATTTTCCCAGAACAAGATACACTTTTGAATAACACATTTTGCAGCTTTCCGAGTATTCAATTTCGGATCAGCGTGTCTCATGTAATGGAAAAAACAC